CTCAAACCGCAGGCTCAGGCAATCCACTCACCTCAGCCTCCCAAAGGCGCGGGATTACAGGCTGAGTCACCGAACCCGGCTAGTCATAGTATTTTTAAGTTACATAAATATAAAACCAAGTCAAGTAATTTGCAGACTCACTGCTGAATTTGGCACATGCATTGTTGTCTTTCATCTTCATAATGCTTCTATGAGGTAGATATTACCATTTTAACACAGACTCCTCTTACCAAAAGTAGCCAGGAATGTTCCCAGGTCTTCTAGAACCCAAAACTGTCACACACATGTCATTTGCACAAACACATCATTGGTCATCACTTTCTCACATCATTCATTGGTCTCCACTTTCTAAGCATTCTTGGAATTGAACTCTGGCCAAAGAGATCGCTTTGAAGACATAGGTCCTTTGGGTTGCAAATTGCTAGTTCCATGGGCAGTACTATTTGTTGTATCTAATCAATTAGTTTATGGTATGTGAGAGTAAATATCTGTCAAAATTTACAAGGCCACAAGGAGTATTTAAAAGGCGTATATTCCAATTAAGTAAAAACAAATTGTGTAATCTTAAAATGCTTAACATATTTGGTAATATTCTGTGAAAGGTAAAATAAGCTTCCAATCTTATAAAATGAACACTGTCTACCAGGGATAATTTGACCCTGGTGTATTTACTTTGAGGCCAAAATTAGTTAAATTATTGCTTCATTGCTCAGCAGGATCTGATCTATAAAATGTCTTCCTTCAAATATTTTTTTTCTTTCTTGTTTCTGACACAAAGGCTATTGAGAAACATGTAATAGCAATTTGTGTCAGTGAGCTCTAAGAAATAAAAAACACATATCCAGAACTTGTCTTTCTCTGAATCTAACAGTTAAGTTACTTATTTTCTTCTATTGCATAAGAAATTACCTAGGATGTTCTTCTGTAATAAGAAAAGTAAGGAAAGTGGAAGATAAATGTATAACCTGTTGCATTCTCATCTTTGATGTCCAGATTAGGTCCTGTGCTGAAAGAGAAACCAAGAAAAAAGATGACATTCCAGAAGAAGACAAAGGAAATGTAAAACAATGTGAAGTTAATTATGTGTATGTATTCCTTTCCTTTTAGACATACAGAGTGGACAGTGAAGCACTTCTCAGGGTGCTTAAATAAAATAAAATACCTGAAGGACAAGAACAGGTAGCACATTTTAGACTTTAGGGCAGGACACTGAGCTGAATGATTTTTTTTTTTTTCCTCAAGGCTTCAGTTTTCCTAATCATTCTGCTATCTCTCAAAGCTAAAGTCACTTGGGTTAGTCAGTTTCCCTGTTCATTAATAGTATGGCTATGATGCCAGTCAGACTGTGCTGTGACCAGGACATAGGGGACTCCAGCCAACTTGCTCTGACAGATGTGGTTCACAGAGGTCATTCGCTTTGTAGTTGGTAAACCACAGGTTATTAAAAGTGCAATTAGATTTTTTTTATTTTTTGGACAGACATAGAATTGGCAAATATTTTTTTCAAGTCTGTGGGCTATCTCCCTGCTCTCTTGCTGGTGTCTTTGGCTTTGCAAAAGCTTGTCACTTTGATAAGGTCCCACGTGTCTACCTTATGTCTTATGGCATGGGCACTTGGGGTTTTGATCAGGAATTGGTTGCCAGTTCCAGTTTCCATAAGAGTGTCTCCTGCATTTTTTAAGGTTCTTATAGTTTGAGGTTTCACATTTAGGTATTTGATCCATTTAGAGTTGATTTTTGTGTGTGGGGATAGGTAGGGGTCATATTTCAATCTTCTGCATGTGGTCAGCCAGTTTTCCCAGCACTATTTACTGAATAGGTTCTCCTCTCCCCAGTGGTTGATGGTGGAGGCTTTACAAAGATGAGTTAGTTGAGAAATTGAGGTTTTGCTTCTGGAATCACAATTGTATTCCATTGGTCTGTATGCCTGTTCCTATACAAATACCAGGCTATTTTCTTATTGTAGCTTTATAATAAAGTTTAAAGTCTAGGAGTGATACCTCCTGCTTTGTTTTGTTTTGTTTTGTTTTGTTTGCTGAGAATTGTTTTGGCTATTCGTGGTCATTTATGTTTCATATGAATACCTGTATTGTTGATTCTAGGTCTGAGAAGAATGTTGCTGGTAATTTGATGGGTATTATGTTAAATCTGTAGATTGCCTTAGGTAGAATGAACATCTTAACATTGTTGACTCTTCCAATCCATGAGCATGGAATATTTTTCCACTTATTTGTGTCATCTTTGTTTTCTTTGAGCAGTGATTTGTAGGTTTCATTATAAAGGACTTTCACGTCTCTGGTTAGGAAGATGCCAAGGTATTTCACCTTTTTTTGTGGCTGTTGTGAATGGAATCGTGCCTTTTCTTTGGGTTTCTGTTTATTATCGGTGTATAGAAATGCGATTGCCTTTTACACGTTTATTTTATACTCTGAGACATTGCCAAAGTCCTTTATTAGTGCAAAGAGGTTTTTTGACAGATTCTCTTGGGCTTTCTAGGTATACAATCATGTCATCTGCAAAGAGAGATAACTTGACTTCCTCTTTTCCTATTTGGATACCCCAATCACTTTCTCTTCTCTGATTGATCTAGCTGGGACTTCTAAAACTATGTTGAACAGGAGGGTTGAAGGTGGGCATCCTTGTCTTGTTCCAGTTTTCAGAAGAAATTGTTCCAATTTCTGTTTGTTTAGCAGTATGCTCGATGTGGGTTTCTCATAGGTGGCTTTTACTATTTTGAGGTATGTTCCACCTGTGCCTAGATGTTCGAGGGTTTTTATCAAGAAGGGGTGCTGGTTTAATCAAAAGCTTTTTCTGCATCTAATGATATAATCATGTATTTTTTGTTTTTATGTCTTTTGATGTATTTAATTATGTTTACAGTCTTACGAATGTTGAACCAGACTTGCATCCCAGGGATGAAGCCTGTTTGACTGTGGTGGATGATTTTTGATATGTGTTGTTAAATCCGGTTTGCTTGCATCTTGTTGAGGATTTTAGCATCTATGTTCATCAAGGATATTAGCCTGTAGTTTCATTCTTTGTTGGATCTTTACCTGGCATGGGTACCAGTGTGATGTTAGTTTCATAAAATGACTTGGGGGAGTTCCATCTTTCTCAATTGCCAGGAATACTTTCAGTAGGATTGGGTTCAGTTCTCCTTGTATGTTTTGTAGAATTCTGCTGGAAAGCTATCTGGTCCAGGGCTTTTTGTTGTTGTTGTTGTTGGTAGTTTTCTTATAACATAGTTAATTTCCTGAATTGTTATTGGTCTATTGAAAGTCTTGATTTCTTCTTGTTTCAACCTGGGGAGATTGTGTGATGTCAGAAAGTCCTCCATTTTCTTTAGGTTTTCAAGTTTGATTTCATACAAGTGTATATAGTAGTCTCTGGTAATCTTTTGTATATCTTCAGGGTCAGTTATGACTTCATCATTTGTGTTTCTGATTCTGTTTATTTGGGTTTTTTCTTGGTCAGTTGCCAGGGTACCATCAATATTGCTTATCCTTTCAAAGAATCAGCTTTTTGTTTCATTGATTTTTTTAAATTGTCTTTTTGTCTTCTATGTCCCGAATTTGACCTTTTTGGTGATCGAGATTCTTCTGCTGAAGTTAGGGTTTTGGTGGTCTTGCTTTTCCAGCTTCCTTAGGTGACTTGTTAGGCTGTTAATTTGTGATCTTTCTATTTTTTTCATGTGTGTTTGTAGAGTTGTGAATTCCCCTCTTACAACTGATTTCATGGCATCCCAGAAGTTTTGGTTTGATGTTTCTTCATTTTCTGTTTCCAGGTATATTTTGATCTCTGTTTTGATTTCCATGTTGACCCCAGAGTTGCTTAGCATCATGCTGTTTAGTGTCCATGTTTTTGTGGGTTTTGGGGGATCTTTGTTTGTGATGATATGTATTTTTATTCCACTGTGGTCTGAGAATTCAGGTGCATGGCAGAATTTCAATCTTATGAAATCTGTTTATGCTTGATTTATGGCCAAGGATGTGGTCGACCTTAGAGTATGTTCCATGTGATGATGAGTTGAATGTATATTCGGTAGTCGTTGGGTAGAGTGTTCTGTAGGTATCAATTAAGTCCTTTTGGTCAAGAGTCACATTGAGGTTCTGGATCTCCTTGCTGATTTTTTGTCTTGATGATCTGTTTAGGGTTGTGAATGTGGCATTAAAGTCCCCAGCTATGATAGTATTAGAATCAGTATCTTTTTTAAGTTTGCCTAGGAGCTGCTTTATGAAAGTCGGTGTTCCTAAAGTCGGTGTTCCTATGTTGTGTGCTTATATGTTTAGGATGGATATTTCTTGTTGATGGATTGAACCTTTTGTCATTATACAGTGACCTTCTGTATCTTTTTAAATTTTTGATAGCTTAAAGTGTATTTTGTCTTATATTAAAATTGCAACTCCTGCTTTCTTTTGTGTTTCATTTGCCTGAAATTTTGCTTCCTATCCTTTTACTTTGAGTCTGTGGGTCTCCTTTCTGGTGAGATGAGTCTCTTTGAGACAATATATTGTTGCCTCATGATATTTTATCCATTTTGCCATTCTGTGTCTCTTCAGTGGTGCATTTAGTCCATGCACATTCAGGCTAATTACTGAAATCTGAGGGTTTATTTTTGTCATGATGATCTTATAGAGTTGTTGCTATACTTGTTTGTTTTCTTTCTTTTGTTTTTTGGGTTGGTTCATGTGTGTTTTCAATCTTTTTCCTGTGCTCTTGTGAAGAACATTGTTGTTCTTTTTCCCTTTTCTTCTGTGTTTAATAGTTTCTTAAGAGTTTCTTGTAGAGTTGGTCTGGAAGCAGCATAAGTTCTTAGGGATTGGATGTCTGGGAAAGATTTTAATTCTCCCTCACTGATGAAGCTTAGTTTGTTTGGGTAGGTTATTCTTGGTTGAAATTGTTTATCTTTGAGAACTTTGAATATTGGACTCCTAGCTCTCCTAGCCTGAAGGATTTCTCTAGATAAATCTGCTGCTATTCTGATTGGTCTTCCCTGGTAGGTAGTCTGACCTATTTCTCTTGCTGCTTTTAGGATTTTTTCTTTTATTGCTACTTTGTTTTGGAAAATTACTATGTGTCTAGGAGTTGGTCTTCTCATTTGTTGTCTTGCAGGGGTTCTCTGAATCTCTTGTGTTTGAATGGTCACATCACTATTGAGATGAGGGAAATTTTTGAATAATTTCAAATGTTTGTTCTACAGTGTTTTCTATCTCTCTTTCTGCCTTAGGAAGTCCAGTAACTCTTAGGTTCAGCCTTGAAATAATCACTTATGTCTTGATGGTTTTGTTGTCTTTTAAAGCATTTTTCTGTTTTTGACAGTTTGGATTAGTTCTATATTTTGGGCCTCAAGTTCTGAGATTCTTTCTTCTGCTTTGCTAATTCTGCTTTCCATACTTATCGGCTTGTTATTTATTTTATTCACAGAATTCTTTGTTGTTGTTGTTGTTTTTGAGTTGGAGTTTCACTCTGTTGCCCAGACTGGAGTACAGTGGCACGCTCCCAGCCACCGTAGCCTCGATCTGCTGGGCTCCAGCAATCCTTCCACCTCAGGCTTCCACGTAGCTGGAACTATAGGTGCGCACTACCATGCCCAGCTAATTTTTGATTTATTGTAGAGATGAGGCCTTACCACACTGCCTGGGTGGGTCTCGAACCCCCTGGCTCTGGCAATCTACTCACCTTGGCCTCCCAAAGCTCTGGGATTACAGGCTGAGCCACTGAGCCTGGCCCATTCACAGCATTCTTTACTGCTGTTATCTCAGTTCTCAATTCCTGCCTATTTTCCTCTTGTCTGTCCTCAATTCTTTTTATTCTCTCTGTTAATGTCTTTTTTTTCCCTTAGGCATTGGATGCCTGGGAAATTATTAATATCTTGATATCTGGATTTGTAGTTTGTCATTCTGGGGGCTCTTCATTATTTGCATTCCGATGTCTGTTTTTCTTAGTGTCTGACCTCCCAGGGGTCTGTGTGAGACCCAAATTCTTCTTTTGGTTTTTCTTCATTTGTGTAGACTTTCCTCCCTCCTTTTACCACTTTTACTACTCCCCACCCCCCCTTCTTTAATGCTGTTGTTCATCGATGGTGGGGTTGCTTTTACTTCTGTTTGCTCAGTCTCCTGTTCTTCCTTATGGATCTCTGACTTTGTTCAGTTCTGAAGTTGGACTGTGGACTGGGGGCTGTACTTTTTGCAGTTTTGAGATTTAATTGAGGGGGAGCTGTGATCACAGTATCCACCGATGGGTGTATGGACCCTGGAACCCACTTCCCACTGCCTTAAAATCTGTCCATGCAGCAGGGTTATAACTTTGCTCCCTGGAAGCCATTGAGGTAAGAAGAAGAAAAATAATGGCAAAAGCAAGGAGGGAGCAAGAAGAAGGTAGAGAGAGAGAAGAGTAAGAGGGAAAACAGACAGGCGTACCAACCGCTTTGCCTCAGATTTTTTTTAAGTTAAAAAAAATAATGATTAAAAAAATGTAACACTATTTATAAGTTTGGCAGTAAACATGCATAACCAAAGTTTGAGATATTTTTCAATGAAGACATTTTCTTTACAGAAAAAAATTTCAGAGCTTCCAAGACCACAAACTTAAAATAAGTAAAGAAGACAGTAAAATTCTTAAAAAGGCTCGGAAAGATGGATTTTTGCATGAGACACTTCTGGACAGGTATATATTTGCTTGTTTTCAGTAACCAATAAAAATGACATCTATGAAACCTATGTTCTTTTTACATTACTATCATTTTCAAATTTTCATCTTCTAATTTGTAAATGTGGCAGTATTACATAAAGAAGACATAAGTCTATGAGACGATTACCAAAGAAGAATATCTAAAAACAATCATAACTAGATTCTTAGTATTTATATACTTTATAATAGGTAATATGGGTTTAGCTATCTTTCATAAATTTATCATCTTTTTATTACTATTGGAACCAGCTAGAAGCAGTTTGACTGATGTCAAAATTCTGTGCATTCTATTACAGTTGTACAGATTCCTTAAAATAAAAGTAGGCAATCCCTTCAGATCCCCTCCCACTGTGGGAGCTTTCCTGTCCTCTCAATAAATCCTGCTAAAAAATAATAAAATAAAATGAAAATAAGATAAAAGTCGGTCAGATAAAAATGACTAAGCAATAATGCTAATTAAGTGAAATGAAGCAGTTTTATTAACTTAGATTCAGAATTGTGCAGGATTTTTATCATAGTACATTATTAATATTTGTTTATTACTATTCTTATTTAGGTTAAATGATGTTCTAGGTTTAAAACATAGAAAACTAGTTACAGAGGTTTAGCTGTGAACTTAAAACTAATCAAATAAGTGCCAGCTTGTCATTCAAAAACTACTCTGTAACTTTCTTTGCATTGCTTGATAAAGGCAATGCTTAATTACACATTTCCCATTCGCCAGTTGGTGGAATTCAATCAGTAAATGATGGAAGAATTTTTCCCTCTTGAACAAGTTAATATGTATCTAGTTCTAAGAAATCAAGGAAAGGATATAAAATATAATCTGGAAATGAACTCTGAAATAGAATGAGTTCTATGTGCTATAACTTTTGTTTTTCTTTTTTGAGTTGGGGGTCTCACTCTGTGGCCCAGACTGGAGTGCAGTGGCAGCTCCCGGCCACCGCAGCCTCAACCCGCTGGGCTCCGGTGATCCTTCCACCTCAGCCTTCCGAGTAGCCGGAATTACAGGCGCACACTACCAAGCCCGGCTGATTTTTTGATTTATTGTAGAGATGAGGTCTTGCTGCCCAGGCAGGTCTCGAACCCGCGGGTTCAGGCAATCCACTCACCTCAGCCTCCCAAAGGCACGGGATTACAGGCTGAATCACCGAGCCCAGCTTGTGCTATAACTTTTAACACTTGCAGCAGTACAGCATTGCTACCCTGTTAAATATAAATTTAGAGCACATTTAATTTCAGAAGTAATTAAAATTCCTATTATGGATTGAAAAGCCCCTTAGGCAATATTTGGTAAATATTAGGAAACAACTTTCATAAGAGCAGAATCCATTTTGTATAGAAACAAAATTTTAAAGTAAAATTTATAATATTTTAATGTAAGTCTTGTGGTAATATAATAACTAAAATGAACACAATTTTAAAGCATGAATTTTGTATTTAGTAGCAGTTGACTATATTTGGCATGTTTTACATAGATTAATTTTTATTATTTGTCTTTGTTTAAACAGGAGAGCCAAACTGAAAGCTGATAGATACTGCAAATGACCAGGATTTTTGTTTCTGCCTTATCTTTTTGTTTTTTTCTGAATAAAATAGTCAGTGGCAGTACATATACGGAGTTCTTGAGCTGTTATGGGATAATTGTTAAGTTAGTAACTAATTTACCCAAAATTAAACAAGTTTAACCAAGATTCTATTAGCTATCTGCAGAGTTTCACACAGAAATGAAACTTAAGAGTACGTACTTAAAAAGTACCACAGGAATTTTTTTTTTTTTTGATCATAAAGCATGAAGTACTATTCTAAGAAACTGGTTACTTCCTGTGTTGCTTGTGGAATGTATCTTAGTTTATTTGATACAATAGATGCTTAATCGGTACCTTTAACAGGAAGTTAGAAACCCCCAATCCAGCCATTCATCAAGGCTTTGATTCTATTCCTAAATACAGTCCGGATAAATAGCAGAATAAGGGGGCTGAGCAGAGAGGACATCATCTACTAGGTAGTGGGATAGAGAGTGGAAACGTTACAAAGGAGCAAAGTAGGCTCAGAAAAGAAGTCCAGAGAGTAATACTGGAAAAATTCCCTAATTAGTATTGTTTAGTCACAGGAGATGTGTATGTAATGCATCTGTTCTCACTTGTGGGCTATATGGAAGCTACTGGAAATGTTCAGATACTAAGTGTTGCTTAGGTCCGCTTTGTTGAAACCTATCACTTTTTGAGTTCCTAAACACAGTGTTCCGGATGTCATCTAATTCCAGTGAGTACTCCAAACCCAGATTGTATATATCAGATGCTTGTATTTTACCTTGGGAAATTCTTGAGCTGGACTGAAGTTGGCTCACACATCTATTATGTTTTTAGAAGTCCATTTTGTTACCTCTCTAACCTGACAGGCCCAGTCTAGTTCTAGCCTTTATATTCCATCTGTTGCCAATCTAGCATCACATGGCTCCTGTACAAGCAAGGTAGCTAAGCTACAAAGGAGCTCTTGCTATAGGTTTAGCCTCAACTTGGCACTCAAATTCCAATAGCTGGACGTCCCCCCATCTTGTGTTCTTGTGATCCTCCATTGAGAACATGCTTGCTACTCTGATTCCCCAAAGCAGTGGTTCTGGTTCCACCTGACAGTTCATTTGCCCCCTAGGGGATATTTTCCAATGTCTGGAGACATTTTGCATTGTCACAAGTGGAACACTGCTACTGGCATCTCGTGGGTAGAGACCAGGGATGCTGCTATGCATAGGACAGCTCCACAACAAAAACTTTTCAGCCCAAAATGCCCACAGTGCCAAGGTTGTGAAGCCTCCCCAAGGATTTTGTCTATTTCTTGTTTTGCCAGCTCCCTAACTCCTAAACATAAACAGTAGTTCAGATGTAAATATCTAAGAATCTCCTAGAGGACCTGTGGATTTCTAACATCCGGGGACAGATTTCTGAGGCCTGTCCCTGGAGTTGCAAGTAAGCAGGTCTAGGATAATAAGTACTCCAGGTAGTTCTGAAACAAGTGATGTGAGCCACACATTGAGGAGCACTCCCTTCAAGGGATTGAATCTTGCTCCCATATACCAGCTTAGTAGTTGAGACCCCAGCCTGCTGACTGACTTCCATGGCGCAGACATTCTGTCTGCCTGCATTTCTGAACACAGCATATTCCTGCCTCCAGGATTCCTTGTTCCCTCGCTCACCCTGTGCCCACAGTTCCTGTTCCCATTCCAGTGAATGGAACTAGTTTACAGATCCTGACAGCAAGAAGTTACAGATTAAAAGTATACACTGCCTGCTTTCATGGAGCTTACACACTAGTGAAGAGCGACAAGTGTAGAGGGTAGATGAGTGCTCCTTTCCAGTTTCTCCCATTCCACTTCATAAAAGCCCCTGGTAGAGCACTGAGGCAGTTTCCGGTTTACCAGTCTAGTAACCTTATGAAAAATAAGATTTCATAAAGTAAAAGCAATAAGCTCTCCATTCCCCAACCTATTTTGACTGTTCACGTTTTTTTCAGGTTGAATCGTTTCAGTTCTCTTTAAATTCATTGACTCTTACTACTTCCAAGTTGCTATTAAACACATTTTTAAAAATTTTAAACACTATTTTTCACTTCTAGAATTCCATTTGAGCCTTTTAAAAATTATAGTTTTTTGTGTTTTTTTCCTCTCTGCTGTGATTTCCCATCCATTGATTACGAGAGGTTTTTGGTTTATGGTTTTGGGCAGAGTTATAATAGCTACTTTAAAAATCCATACTCGTTTCAATGTCAAGGTTGGTCTCCACTGACTGCCTTTTCTTTGGAGTATTTTTCTTCCTATGTCTGATATAATTGGATTGCATCCTGAAGATTATAAAAACTAGATTTTGTTTTTTCTCTGAAGAATTTTGATTTTTTTTTGTTGTTATTGTTGAGTAGGCAGTTAACTTGGCTGACTTTAGGCTGAAAATTCTGGCTCTTAGTGAGCAACAGGTGGAGTCTCTTGACAGTTGTTTTATCTGAGTTGCTTGAAGTTAGCCCCAAGCATGTGGAGTTTAGGGATCAGTGTGAGAATGGGTCATTATGTCTGCCTTCTGTGACTGTCTCCTTTTTAGAATTTCTTCACTCTGAACTCTGTCCTCTGATTCATCAACAAGCTTATGAATAATAGTGTAATGAGTTTTCAGTCAGTGGCACTGACGGGGCCTGCCCCAAGATGTTAAGAATGCAATTACATTTTTCATAGGATCAAACTCCAACCCCCCCAAGGTTCTGCATGCTTTTGATCATTCTCCATTACCTTCAGTTAATTTTTTTTTAATTGTCCAAAGTTTTTTTTGTTTTTTTGGCATTAAGATTTGTACAAGCTACTCCATTATGATCTGCTCAAACTCTTACTGGGTTCTTGCCCTTTCCTTCCCATCTAGAGGACCTGGGTTTTCCTACATACAGAAAGCAACTCTAACATTCTACATAAAGAAGTAAATCATTAAAAGAAGCAAATAGACCAGGCACGGTGGCTCAAGCCTGTAATCCCAGCACTTTGGGAGGCCAAGGAAAGAGGATTGCCTGAGCCCACAGTTTCGAGACCAGTCTGGGCAACATGGTGAGACCTCATCTCTACAATAAATCAAAAATTAGCCAGGCATGGTAGCATGTGCCTGTAGTTCCGGCTACTTGGAAGGCTGAGGCGAAGGATTGCCAGAGGCCAGCAGGTCGACACTGGGGTGGCCACACACAGACTCCAACTCAAAAAAAAAAAAAAAAGTAAATACATTTATACAAGTAAGCATAGGTCTGAATTTCCAAAATGGACCCAGTACCTACCCAAATACAGTATGGAGTTCTTGAGACAGCTCTAGTGTAGATGATAGTCTATAGCTTATCTTCAACTCTCTATTTCAAGAATTGTATTTACAAGGTTATTCTAAATTCTTAAGAGATTGAGGAACATATTAAAATGTGCTGTAATAGCTTAGTGCCACATTTTATTAACCAAATTATTATGATATAACAGTTTTCATACTGGGATGAAAAACATCAAAAAAAAAAAAGACTTCCTGATATTGTTCTTTTATGGTATTATAATAGTCACCTGAGGGGTTGGATTCATTTTTTTGGGGGAGGGGGACTTGCAAATGTTGTAATCCATTACATTTAATGTAAAAATGAGAAAAAAATTATAAAGTGCTTGATTCCTTATCTTTATTCTCCCTTTTCCTTCCCGTGTGTGTGTATGCATGTATGTATGTGTTTGTGTCTAAGAGTATGTTTCATTGAGGCAACTTGATGGTATTAAAGCAGATTTTCTTTTTGGCATTTCCTATATACCATACTCCAGAAAAATCCCTGGCACTGTTTGGTGTGCGTTTTTTAATTTCATACCAATGACATGCTGCTCTTAAATATTACTGAGGCTTATTTTCTATGATGGAGAAAAAAATAAGCCTTTTTGGTTTCGTTTTGTGTTTCAGCACTGCCTTTGCATTTTATAAAAAAATAGGTTTTATCCTCAGAATACATAGTAAAGACTTACGCAGGCGGTTGCTTTGCTTACAGTGTTTTGCAAATAAATGAGGTTTTGCAGTCCTGTTCTGTGTGCTGCTACTAGAAAAGAAAAGGTAAACACTACTTGGTTAGTGTTTAGTTTTTCATTATGCAGTTTCCTAATTCTGATCCTTGGATACTAAATAGCATTGAAGGGAAGAGCACAAAGAAGACAGAGCACATCTTTTTAATCCTTTATAAAGATGGAAACTTAAATCTAAATAGACTCCAAGGTAAGGAATCCAGTTATGACTTCTAACCTTAGTTCTCTAACTGCCGCTTAGCAATAACTTGTATAGCTGCAATGTCATATAGAAAAATAAAATAAATCAGTACTTTAAGCTTCTAATCTCTTTTTTTAAATGATTCCTTATGCTTGTGTCACTAAGTATAATTCCCTATTTTCTGATATCCTGCTGCTGATCATTCTCCCCAAGCATTTTGCACCCACTGGTACCAAAAAATTCCAAGGATATATGTGGGTTTAGGAGAACCCAAAGTTAAGAGTTTAGCAGACCACTCGAACTCATTCAATCTGAGGCTTCCTGTATATGCAAAATGACTAAAGCATGATGACTTGTTTGGAAATGACCAGTTGACCTTGGACCAACCTAGGCTGTTCTGTAGCTCTGCAGTCTCACAAATCTACTTGAGATCAGTTTTAAAACAGAGCAGCAGGAATTGCTTGAATGTAGCCCTTCCTGTTGTTCTTTAGGAAAGTAATTTCCCCCGTGGCCTCCAGAAGCAGGACCTTCTTGCACATCCCTGTTCATTTTTGCCCCCAAATCCGCTCCAGAGTCTCTTTAACCCGTCACTGCCTTTCCACCTGCCGTTACCCACTTTCTTTTATCCATGTTACATGTACTACCACAGCTGCATTTCACACAGCATACTACTTTCACAAAACATACTACTTTAAGCAAAGACTTCATCATTTAGCAGAAGAGAACACAGATTTCCAGTGGACAGATTTCCTCTTGACTCGAGAAAACTCCCATTCTGATTTTCTCCAAGCTGAATTTGGCTCTTGTTTCAACACACCTAGAGCTGAAGAATCGTTTGCCATGGCTTCATGTAGCAGTTCTGAAACTCCTTAAT